CTCAGATACAATGCATAACGATATTACAGCTTTCATTGTTTTATTCAAAATTTGAAACATTGCCCAGCCAGTAAGGTAAAAACAAACAAAAAAACAATTAATCAAATCGTATTGTAGTGTAATCTTGAGTATCGAAAATAATCAAATCTTTGGGTCAGGAAATTGATACTGAATCGAATTACCATGATGGGTGTGATTTACACCCATTGTAAAAACACTGTACAGTACAATACTTTTTTCTATTTAACAATCTGTTATTTTTATACACTTTTCTAACCTTTGCTGCAGTAAACACAACACAATTTCTCCATTGTGAGACAATAAAGGAATTTTCTATTCTATTCTAAAAAAAAAAAAAAAAAAGAAGACTTTCTAAAAAAAAACATTTGTCATTTTTGTTTTGCTTTAGTCCACATAGATATATATATATATATATATATAAACTGAGTAAATGCAAAAAGTCACTATCCACCTCTGCTTGCAATTGTGTTTTATTAATAAAAAATACTTCTAAATATTTTCTGTAACTTAGTTTTTTTTTTTTAACACTGGTTTTTAATTTTGTAGCCTTTAGCATCGTTTCTTGTTCGTTTTAAATGCAGGTTTTGGGCCCAATAAGCGTATAATGTGTTGAAGAGGTTGATTGACGGCAGCGCAGCTGAACGCTGATTGGTTAGTAGATGTTGGTTCCGCCCTCCGGAGTTGGTAGATCCTGCGTCTGCCTCTCATCCACCACAATGTCTGCAGGAAACCGCCAGGCTACTGCTGCCCGCGCAAGCTGCTGATTCTCCGCTCAGAAAACCAGACTAACAACTTAGCAGATGTATCCAAGGAGCGGCCTGTCACATGCTTTATTTCAACACTACATGTAAACAGAGGTTACAACTTTAAGGATTATTGCAGGAATGTAGCATCAGTTTGCTGTCTCCACAGTTAGCTTCACATGTTAGCCGCAATCTGTAGCAGCTTTAGCCATCAGATAACAAACTAGTTTTAGCCGTGTTTTGCTCCGGTGCAAACTAAACTGAGCTCCCCTCCTGGATGTAAACAAACTTCTCACTCACTGTCAGGGTTTCTAACCAAAAGCTCCGCTACCCACCTCGTCAACAGTCCGCCTGGGAAGATGAAGCATCCCGAGCAGCAGTTTGAGCTTCACCGGCGGCGACAGGCTCGAAAAACATAACCGTATGTTGTCGATGACCGACACCGTGAGGAGAGAGGCGATGCTCGGAGGCGTCCACAGCTCGTCTGTTGATCCTAGTTTGTTATGAAGCCACAGGCCGGTGTCGCTGTCCTTCATCGACGCCATCTTGGAAAAAGAAGTGTTTTGTGTTCGGGCATTTTAACAGGCTACCTAAGAAAAACAGCAGCTAGGACCCCGCCCACACCCATCCGGGCGACGTATGAGAATATTGAACTATGCAAAGTAAAGAAGAAAAGCAGAAGTTTAACGAACGCGTTTTTTAAATATATAATAAACGCCTCTCTTATTCTTCTTTTTAAAAGTTTTCTAAAACAGAACCGATTATTTTTCTCACTGGGTCCAAATGTGGACAAATAAAGGTGTTTCCAGCAATAAGGTTAAAGGGGTTTATAGCAGAAGAGATACTGTAAAGATTAATATTATAGTTGGATTAAATAAAGTTCGTAGGATAAGCTGAAAAATGTACAAATTCCAGACTTGGTATTTGGGATAAATAAAATCGGAAAAAAACATTTGCAGGAAACTTGCACAAAAAAACTATTAATATCATTAAGTGTTTTAAATAATATTTTGACTCAGGTGATCTAAAATTGTATAGAATAGATAAATACAGGTGCACACCTTACTTCTCAGATTTTCTTCTAGAATGTTAAGCAAAAATTCGACAGGTATAGAATTTTCCTTCATATTTATGCATGAGTTTTGTGCTTATAACACAAATTCCCTGTAATACATTGACGTTTGTTTGTTTTCTTTATTAAAATGTTATTTGTTTTTATTAAACAGGTGTCAAGTAACGAAGTACAAATACTTTGCTACTGTATTTAAGTAACTTTTTAGGTATCTATACTTTACTCCATTACTTATTTTTCTTCCTACTTCTGACTTCTACTCATTAGATTTTCACACAAGTATCTGTACTTTCTATTCCTATCATTTTTAAAACAAACGTTACTCGTCACCCTTGGCTTCGGTTTAATGTTTATAAATATTTATTTCACGTCATGTGCGCCATCCATTGCAGATCATTGGCGCCATCCACATCTAGTGAAAACTAGTATAATTGGTGGAGTAATATAACACAAACACTCATTGGTTAGCTAAAGGAAATCAGAAGCAAGCAGGTGTTCTTCAAACTGCAAACGTGAATTCTCTATGCCATGCTACAATGCTGGATTAAGAAAAAGATGTTGAAATGTCTGAAAGGTCGGACACAGGCGAGAGCGTATCAGGAGATGGAAAATTTAGCTTTTAATTCATACGGTGGCATCTGGCTGTTTTTTTAAAGGTTACTTTATACGTTTATACTTTAAGTAGTTAGAGTACATACTTTTTCACTTTTACTTGAGTAAAGAGGTCAAGTTGATACTTGAACTTTTACCCGAGTGTTTTTAAACTGCAATATCTATA